GGCAACCCTAAGCCCGAAGAAACCCAATTCCAATTTTTTTTTATTTTATTTTGTCCTTAATGCGACCTGTATCTGGTCTTTTCATGACAGTCTGAACAACACAGGTCGGATTCTTTTCGAATGCGACCCGGGCCACTTGGATGTCCGACACGTATCCGATTCAACTGTGATCTGAATCCGAACGGTCAGGTCGCGTTCAGATTCATTCAGCCGACCGGAACGTCAACAATCATGGCGGACTATAACGAGGATTAAGTTGTTACTGTGCTGGCTCCGCTCGGACAACAACTTTAAAATCGCAAGCCATGCTCCGCCGTTACCATCCATCTTCTATTTATGAAGTTTGGCAAAACACTGAGCACGCGCTCTGTGTGTGACGTTATTGCGCCCTCTTACTGCGCATGCGGGACACTTTCACGTCGTTTGCAGTTAGTACTGGAGAACATAGACATAATATAGGAATAGACGCCTCATGGACCGCTCTCGCCTATTGTCACTGACGAGATTTAGGGCGGCCATCTTTGAGCGGTCCACATATACATAGATATATGTATATGTTTTTCAGCCGACCAGTTCTAGCTTCAGAGTGATTCAGCAGCTGAGATTGAGTCCAAAATCCGATGCGAGATTCATCCGTGCTGCAGTGAATCCGTCTCTCTTTAAAGATATCTCCCGCTTCTTACTCACATCGTGTCTTTAGGAAACTTTCAAAACAAAAACGGAAGATTTGGGATGTATCTTACTATTGAACGAATTACATATAAATAATAGTCTTTACCACCTGTGTAAACTTTGCTGGTCAATTTTATAACACATAATATAAGTTTTATAATATATGTTACATTGTTTCATTTCTAATATAGGCTCTTGTGTCAGATAATCTAAGTCAATGTTAGAGAATAATAAATTTTTTAGATGTACAGAATCTTAGCGGGATTCATCGCGGGGCTGAACCCGTATTACACCAAGCACTGTAGCTAATAGCTGGTATCTCGCCGGTGGACATAAATACAGTAAAGTAATATTCTAATCACAATATTTACACAATAATATGTCCATCTTACTTGTGAAATGTTGTCTGTGGAGCCCTCGCATCAATAATCCATCGATCCGAACAACAATATCCCTCAGTGCTGAGGCATCTTTTGCTGTTTTGGTTGAGCAAAGTACCGTACCGCTCCAAGATGGCCGCAGTTTTTCCTGCGCCGGTCCATGTGGGGTCTACTCTTATATTATGTCTATGCTGGAGAACACGTAGAGGTCGCATATTTGGCCAAAAAAAAAAAAAAAAATCAAATTTGACAAAACATCGGAATTGGGTCACGTCAGGCTGCAGTGTGAACGCAGCCTAAGAAGAATTTTGTGCAAAAAAAAAAATAAAAAAAAAAATGAAAAAGTTCTGTAAAGCCCATAGATCTATCCTAACCTGTTCAAAAAAAGCATAATAGGTGACCTTCAAACTACAGACGACTTTAATGTCTGTCCTCCCTGTTCCAGGTTGGACTCTGTCCTGGTTTTCGTCTGGACCTCAGCTCGCTCCTCTCAGCCTGCGTGACTATGAGCACCTCGGGGCTTCAGGCTACTGACAGGCAGAACGTGAAGGAGCTCGACACCGTGAAGGAGTCTATCAGTGACATCATCAACCAGCTGCAGGACATCGACCCCGCCCGGCTCTCCTTCTCGCCCTTCCTGGACCTGGACACCCAGATCTCCCTGGCGCCGGTGTCGGACAGCCCGGAGTCGTCTGTGGAGGAGCTCCGCTCGGCCTCCCATTCGGCCTCCGGCTCCCAGCGCTCCCTGGAGCCGCCGCCAGCAGCAACGGCGCAGTCAAGGAGTGAGTCACTGAATCTGCCTTTAGTTTGGAACAAACGGAGAAAAAGTAAAAGCCAAGCTGGAACCAAATGGAGTTAAAATAGATTTGAGGCTAAGCAACAGCATATAAACAACACACTCTACGGGGTTACATCATTGTTCTGCTTGGAAGTTAACACTATTTCCTAAGGTTTTGATCAAATGCCTTTGCCATCCTTTGGTAACGAAACAACAGGATTACAGTAAGACAACACCTCAATCTATTCTTTGCATCATTTTAGATATTGCAGGTGGAGCTGAATCTAGCAACATGTTTTAACTTTTAGCTAAATAAGTACATTCTTTTGGTTGTTTTTGGTGAGTGCTTATGTACTATTTACAGGGGCGGAGCTAAAGTGAGGGTCGAGGGGGGCACTGACCCAACCACATGCCCCGCCAAATGATTGGCAATCCACTCAAAAGAAGAAAAATAATGATAAAAAAGAAAATTCATAAAGCTATTTAGAAATAAACATACAGGTCTGGAAAAAGCTAAGAGCCCACTGCAATGAACTCCATTGAAAACCTCCTGGTTATTCCACCAAATATTGATTTCTGAACTTTTCCTGAGTTAAAACATTAATATTATTGTTTCTGAATGAATACGAACTTGTTTTCTTTGTATTTGAGGTCTGAAAGCACTGCATCTTTTTTTTGTTATTTTTACCATTTTTCAATAAATACTAATTTTTTGCTTGGAATATCAGAGACATGTTGTCAGTAGTTCATAGAATAAAAGAACAACGTTCATTTTACTGAAACATATTCCTATTCACAGTAAAATCAGAGAAAATTATCATTTTAAGTCATCTCTTAATTTTTTCCAGAGCTGTATATGAAATCATTTTTAATTTCTGTGACACCTACCCATTCTAATTAGTTGACTGATCTATCACGATTAATCTGATTAAAATTTTCACAATATAATTTAAAGGCTATCCAACAATTTCCCTCAAATTATTCTTGTCAAAAACATAAAGTTTATGTCCAATTTAACAGCAGATCTTTCAGGTCAGACTCGATGCTCCAACGCCTCCGATTGTCTCCTTTTGGATTTGGATTGCGTACTAAACTGTGTTTTGATCCTGACAGGCTCTGCTCGGTGCCACCAGCAGCCCAGCGCCATCCCCGCACCACACAGCGGAGCAAATCAGACAGAGCAGCAAGAGGAGCCTGATCAAACTCTTTCCAGCCCCATCATCACTTCGCACAGTTTGGACACCGCCACGGAAAACTGCATGAGCCCCCCTCCGCCAGCCTCTCAGGGCGACATTCCCAACGGCACAAACACGCCGAGATGGAGCCCAGAATCCACCACTGTGGAGAGCCCGGCGGACGAGGGCCGACCCTTGATAGGGCCGCCGCGGGAGAGCGTGGAGCTGGCCGTGTGGAGCACAGAGGGACTCGGAGAGACTGACGGGGCCGCAGGGGAGGCGTTGGATCAGGGGAGGTGCTGCTGCCGGTGTAAATGCAGCCAGAGCGGCCGTCTCCCCGCCATCCTCTCCGTCCTGGCCTCGCTTCTGTGTGCAGCCGGGATGCTCTATGCACTCTATTTCTATGTCCCAATCAGACCCCCCGACTGCCCGGACATAAGCTGCCGCATCATTTTCACCTTCTGCTGCTGCGCAGTGGCAGCGCTCCCCATGGTGCTTGGTACGACTCAGACACCTGCACGATCACAAACACAAATTTAACGTAAAGATCAGACGTAAAGGTGGCCAGAGGAACAGGATGGGGTTCGTCTGGCCACCTCGTCTGGGAATGTTTTCATTTTTCTATGTAATTCAATGACCTTTTAACTTGAGGTGCACCAATTGCAGTTTTATGGCCAATTACCGATCTTTAAAAAGCCTGGCCTGCCAATTCCGACTTTGGCCATGCCAATTTTTTTGTCTGAAATGTTACTAAATATAGCAAGAAAGTCACTGACTTGGCAGCACTGGGGTGACTACTGTTAACTGCAAACATTCTCACGAGAGAGCAAAAGAGGAGAGTGACTGATTTTTAGACCTTTGCTGAGGAAGATAAGATCGGTGGATAAGATCGGCTTCACGTGTCAGAATCGGCCTATCACCGATCTCACAAAATGAAGGAAATCAACTGGCTGATAAATTGGTGCACCAATTTATCAGCGCACCAATGTGTAATATGTTCAGTTTCACTTTTTGTAATATGCCAAATATCAAAATGTCCATTAAGTTTATTTTTTAGACATTATAAAGCCTCAGGGGTTTGAAAGAGAACATAAGCACACAATAGGAATGCAAAAAATGTATTGACTTACAATTTAATTTATTAGATGAAAATTTAGTTCCACTGGTTAGACCTTCTTTTAGTGCTGTAGTTTGCCCACCATCCAGAAGAGGGCACTGTTGGTCATCCTAAAGCAGAACCAGTTGATACAGAAACAAAGATGGTGGAGGAAAGTGAGAGGGAAACAGCTCAAATGGAGTCTGGTGTGGGATGTCAGATGCAATTAAAATATAATTTATTTATTTATTTATTTATTTATTTATTTTACATTTTTCACTGAATTATTTCTCTGAATATGCTGTTGTTTCAGCAAAATTACCTTTTTTGAGTCTGTGTTATCCAGTTAATGATTAATCAATTACTAAATTAGTTGAATAAGCAAAACTAGTCTGATTTACTGTTTTCAGTCCTAGTCAAATCAGACCAAAGTTGAACTGGCGCTGGCAGCATCATGCAAGTCAAAGATCCAAATGAATATGGAAACTGTTTCTCTCCTTCCAAACTTAATAAGAAATACCCAAATAAATATTTACAGCTGCAGCAAGAAGTGTTTCTCTATAATATTAACTCAGGAATATGAAGACTTGTGCTGCCACACTTTTCAGATTTTTACTATTTAAAACATATTTATGTTGGTTTTTCACATAAAGCCTAAATAAAATCGGTTCAGTTCAAAATTACTTTATTAATCTCAGAAGGAAAATAAATGTCGTTCTATCTCAGAGCTGCTGGCCAGAAGGATTTGCTGCAGCAGTCAGTGTTACAGCAACTCTGAAGAAGCCTCTGACTGAAAGTTTAATGAAGAAGCCACACTGAGCAATACAAGTCTAAGGTTGTAATGTGGGAAAAGTTCTATACATGCTTTTGTTATTTCAAACAAATCAATAAAAAACAAAACAAGGCTACATACACATAAAATATAAAAAAAACTATGCTTTGTCATTTTAGCTCCCATACTTACACTTTTTAAAAATTATAACCCTTTTATATTATTTCTCAATATCAAAATACATGTAGCAGTATATATTATATCAATATCTTATATGGAAAACATAATTTTACTTTTATCGTAAGAATGTCACATTATTTTACTGTTTATGTATATCCTTCATCTTCCATATAATTATTTATAAATATTTTTGTACCTTTTTGTTGAATATATGCACGCTTTTCCACAAAGTCGATGTACACATTTTTATATTTTAAATTTTGTCCTCCTCCTCTTTCTGCTAAATATTATTGAATATTTTAGGGTAGCTGTTTTGACTTCAACCAAATCCAGAAATGTCAGCGCACCTGATTTGATAAAAGTGAAAAGTTTAATGGTCTCAGTGGTCTCTGGTTCAGAATGAGAGAGCAGGTGACTGAACCAACCCGACCAAATCCATCCCAGAGGAGTTACCTCTGATCCAGATTTCAAGCAGATGCCAGAGTATTTGCATGTCGGCCTTCCTGCCAGCAGTAGCTGCATTCAAATGAGGGAAAAATGTGAAAACACAAAGTTGCTGTCAGATCAGTTTGCAGTGACTTTGGCGCTGCTTGTGGAAAGATGGCCCAGATTCAAGATGGATTCTGACTTATTGCTCTTCTCTGCCTTGCAGCCATGCTGGTTGGTGCGGCGTGCCAGTTGTGCTCCGGGTCCCTGCGTCTGCAGGAGCCGACTGATCGAAGACACACTGTGCAGCAGCTGTTTGTCTCATCGTCCCTGGAGCAGCTGCTGCTCTACGTGCTCAACCTGGTGGTGATGGCCGCCCTGCTGCCGCAGGAGCAGCTGAAGCTGGTGCCCATTCTGGTGGTCATGTTCATCATTGGCAGGTGAAGGTCAGAGCAGGTTGAAGGATTTAATGGTGACCTTTGACCTGAAGGGGTCATCACCAAACACAAAAACGCCCAAAGGCTCAAATGTGTTCATACAGCCCGGCTGCACATCAACGAGTGGAACAGAGAAGTTCATTAAACGTATAAGAAGACAACAAAGGCCACCGGAAAAATAAAATAAAATTCTGACTGTAATTTCAGAATTCTGACTGTAATTTCAGAATTCTGACTTTTTTTTTAAAAGAATTTAGACTTTTTCTCAGAATTTTGACTTTTTTCTCAGAATTTTGACTTTTTTTCCTCAGAATTTTGACTTTTTTCTCAGAATTCTGACTTTTCTCAGCATTTTAAAGTTTTTCTCAGTATTTTGACTTTTTTCTCAGAATTTTGACGTTAATTTAAGAATTCTGACTTCCTCAGAATTTCTCAGAATTTTGACTTTTTTCACAAAATCTTGATTTTTTTTTTTCCACAGAATTCTCACTTTAATTTAAAACTCAAATCGATCTATCAAATCTGAGACTGTGGATATAATGCAGGTTTACAAAAGCCCATATACAACGAGGAGGAAACTGTTTTGTGACTATTTTCATATATGAACAACACAACTGACATACACCTAAGACTGTTTGGTTATTTGTTTGGTTTTTGACTTAGATTGACACAGAATTAAAATTCTGAGTTTAAAGTCGTAACTCTGACATTAAAGTTGAAATTCTGAGATTGAAATCAGAATTCTTCTCTTTATTTATTTTATTTTGTTAAGTGATCCTGATCCTCATCTGTTGATGGATCCTAGCATGGTTTACTAGCATGGACCAAATATTTTTTGTTTCATCTTACTTTTAGCCAAGCTTAAAATATTCGTCATTGATGAAAAGCTGCTACAGACAAAGTGAGATGGATATTGATCAGACTTAAATCCTTAGATTTCAATGCAACGGGGCTTATATCTTACTAGAAAAAGTCAAAGCTCAGATACGTTTATGTTTGAGTAATACAGGTTTGTTGTTGGAAATACTTCATCTTGTAAGCGTGGCTGACGAGTGAGACGTTGAGTGTTTATCATAAATATCTGAACGTCCTCTGATTTCCTGTTTGGGTTTGTTTTCTCGTCCTTCTCAGGCTTGTTTTCTGGTTCAGCCTGAACACGTGCGGCTCCTGGAGAGGCTTCGGTTCTGGTCTGACCTCCTTCCCGCTCCTCGCCGTGGTCGCTCTCAATCTGTTCCTCATGTACAATCTCAATCTCAAACAGCCCCTTTTTGGCCCTCAGGACGTCCTGTATAATCAGGTCACCCCGTCTTCCTGGTCGGGGGAGACATCACAGAGCCCGAGCGGCAAACCAGACGTCCTGCCCACAGACATCCTGGACGCTCAGTGAGAGGGAGAGCTGCGCTTTCTTCTCCGAGAGGAGGCCATCCTCCCAGAAATAGGCCATTCCTGTGGTCTGCTGCTCAGCAGAGCTACACCCGCCGCCGCTGTAACCTCCAACTATGTGACGGCTTTTACTTGTTGCTCCTCCTGTG